TGATCATGGCTCACTGCAGCCTTGACCTGCTGGACTCAGGTGATCCTCCCACCTCAGTCTGCTGAGTAGCTGCGGCTACAGATGCGTACCACCACACCCAGCTAATTATGATACAGAGTCCTTCTTTTTCTTTCTCTTTCTTTCTTTTTCTTTCTTTCCTTTCTTTCTTCTTTTTTTCTTTTTCTTTCTCTTTTCTTTCTCTTTCTCTTTTTTCTTCTTTCCTTCCCTCCCTCCCTTTCTCCCTTCCTCCCTCCCTTCCTTCCTCCCTTCCTTCTCTCTCCCTCCCTCCTTCCCTCTCTCCTCTTCTTTCTTTCCTTCCTTCCTTCTTTCAAATGGGGTCTTGCTGTGTTGCTCAGGCTGCAGTGCAGTGGCATGATCATGGCTCACTGTGGCCTTGACCTGCTGGGCTCAGGTGATCCTCCCACCTCAGTCTCCTGAGTAGCTGGGGCTACAGACGCGCACCACCACACCCAGCTAATTATGATACAGAGTCCTTTTTCTTTCTCTTCTTTCTATTTCTTTCTTCTTTCTCTTTTCTTTTTCTTTCTTTTCTTTCTCTTTCTCTTTTTTTCCTCCTTCTTTCCTTCCCTCCCTCCCTTTCTCCCTTCCTTCTCTCCCTCCCTCCCCTTCTTTCTCTTTCTTTCTTTCTTTTTCTCTTTCTTTCAAATGGGGTCTTGCTCTGTTGCTCAGGCTTGTGCAGTGGCATGATCATGGCTCACTGCGGTCTTGACTTGCTGGGCTCAGGTGATCCTCCCACCTCAGTCTCCTGAGTAGCTGGGGCTACAGACACGCACCACCACACCCAGCTAATTAAAAAAATTTTTGTACAGAAGGATGCCACTGTGTTGCCCAGGCTGATCTTGAACTCCTGGGCTCAAGCAATCCTCCTGCCTTGACTTCCCCAAGGGCTAAGATGTAGACTATTTTCCAGCCTCCTTATTAAAGACTGGTCTTTTATTTATTAATACTTCTCAATATTTATCCCAGTAGAAATAATATAATAATGGGAGCATGGTGATGTGGAAGTTAGTCATCGTTCTCCCAGTAAACCACAGTAAACAACTCAACCTTGCTTTCTGTATCCAGTTTCTTTTACTTTAAAATTAGGATGAGAATATTTGCCTTACCTTCTTTATAACTTTAGTCTGAGGATTAAATTATATTACAAAAGCAAAGATAACTTTGAAAAGTGTTTTAAGGCTGGGCACTTTGGGAGGCTGAGGCAGGCAGATCACTTGAGGTCAGGAGTTCAAGACCAGCCAGGTCAACATGATGAAACCCCATCTTTACTAAAAATACAAAAATTAGCCGGGCATGGTGGCAGCCACCTGTAATCCCAGCTACCTGGGAGGCTGAGGCAGAAGAATTTTTTGAGCCTGGGAGGTGGAGGTTGCAGTGAGCTGAGATCACACCATTGTACTGCAGCCTGAGCGACAAAGCCAGACTCTGTCTCAAAAAAAAAAAAAAAAAAAAAGTTAAAAAATATCAGGTATTATAAGTAGTATTATGGTTATGTGTCATAATATCAATTTCAGAGCACTTCCTGAAATCAATGAAGTTAATTTGAGTGTTTGGTGTTAACTTGAAGTTGTAAGACCTGCAGGGTCTTAGTTGTCTCCATTTTCTTTCCTTTGTTTCCAAATTGCTGACCTGTATCAATACATCAATGTGCAGGCTGGGCTGTGTTTGCCTAGTTCCAGATTTGTCCCTCAACACTATCTTTCAGACACCTTCCAATTCTCTGCTTCCCCAACCCCTGGCTAGCCTTGTCCTACCCTTGTCCTACCCATGTCCAGGTCAGGCTCCTGGAAAATGAAGCGGGCCCACCTTGCCTGGAAAGGGAATTCAAACAAACTTACCTGGGTAGCACTTAATCAACCCACCCCATTCTCTCCTGAGTTGTTCACATGATAAACCCATGTCAGACTCCAAACTCGCATTGTAAAATCTCACTCTCCTGCCACATCTCTGCAATATCTTAGAGAGACAGCCACTTCATCATATCGGATCAATTAATCATCTTTCAACATCTATCCCCCTTCAGGAAGGACAAAACTCCATCCCATCCTTCTTACAAACATGTGCTCTTTTCTGACTTCTTTTCCTTGGATATTTATTTCAATTTGATATTACCTGAATACATCTATTTCCCATTATGCAGGGCACCAGTATGATTTTCTCAGGTTTCATACAACCCCCTAGCGACAGCCAAATGGATGCTTAAGCTACAAATGAGTTAGGTTTCAAATGAGATATGAATCCTACTCAATTAACTGTATAAAAATTGTTATATAACCAGCAAACAGAAGTTTAAGTCTAAAAATAGTATTCAAGATCTAGGACAAGAGGTGGAGACAAAAATCAGGAAGAATATGAAATCCTCAGGAAAAGAAATAATTAAACTACTAGGTTAGTATTTGTTTTCTACAGAAAAACTTCCAACATAACCCATGCTATAGTGGAATTTAGAACATACCCATAAGAAAGTAAGTTTCCTCCCTGAATGTCATCAGGAAGAAACTAAAAGTGTAAACTTGGAAACTGCAGCATGCTAAAAATCTCTCTTCACATGGAAAAAAAGAATGTGTTATAATAGAAAAAATTATAAAAAGAGGAGTCTGGAAAAATAATTGTCTGGACACAAAAGTGATCATATAGTTAATACAAATATTCTTAGAGTGGAAAATGTCAATCTTTCTGACTCATACCAAACAATGTCTTGATATACAATCTATTCCTAAAATGAATCTCTCTACCAGGAATGGTGAGGGGTGGAGATGGAGAGAGGAGAGTCAGGGGTTTTACGGATGATCAGTTCTGTTGTTTAGCTATGTAATCTAATAAATTCTTATTCTGATTCATTTCTTGCTCATTTAATGAGAGTCTCATCAGCCTCTGAGCAGCCTGATTAAATTTCTCATCCTGCAAAGCCAAGGTAGAACTAATCCCAATAGCTATTGTACCCCATGAGGCCCTTCCTAAAGGACTAGATTCCCATCATGTTCCTCATGTTCATTGTTACATTTGGCATCTGGGCTCCTTTGTGCACGAAAGACTAACCCATTTTTTAAGTGTGCTTATCATTGTGTTGCCAGTTGGCACTGCCCTTCCAGGGCACTCTCTGTCTTGTATTTCATTAATGTATAACTTCTTATAATAGACTATAAGTTCCTTGAGGATAAAGGTGCCTTCGAATTTGTAGTCCTTTATTACCACCATCCCAATGTCTTGCATAGAGAAAATTTTCACTAAAAGGTTTTCATACATAACAAATCAAGGTGAACAATACTGATAATGCACAAGTCACTTTACCAAAGTCCTCAAATTAAAATTTCCACAATCATAAACCACGATTCCTTCAAAATCCAGGTCATGGCTCACTTTCTCCAGAAAACATTCTCTTTTATCCCTTGTTTCCTGAATTCTTATTCTTGATTTTTATTAGGGATATAACAGTGTATACCTTGATTAAAGAAGCTGTTTTTAATGTTATACATGTTTCTTTTTTTCTCTTTCTTTCTTTCTTTTTTTTTTTTGACAGAGTCTCACTCTGTCACCCAGGCTGGAGTGCAGTGATGTGATCTCGGCTCACTGCAACCTCCACCTCCCAGGTGCAAGCTATTTTCCTGCCTCAGCCTCCTGAGTAGCTGGAATTACAGGTGCACACCACCACTCCCAGCTAATTTTTGTATTTTTAGTAGAGTCGATGTTTTGCCATATTGGCCATGCTGGTCTTGAACTCCTGACCTCAGTGATCCACCCGCCTAATCTTCTCAAAGTGCTGGGATTACAGGCATGAGCCACCGTGCCCGGCCTGCTGTACCTGTTTTAAAGACATATTATAAGCAGATGCTTTCTCTTCCCAGTTAGTTTCTAAGTATTTTTGAAAGTAAGGAACCATATCTTCAATTTCCTCACACCATTCATACACGATTCTGCATACAGTTTTAACTAATATTTATCCAGTGCTTTCCAGGTGCCAGGTGGTTTTTAAACACTTCATATGGATTTAATCATTCAACCCTCATGGCAACGCTACAGTACTAGACATAAGTAACTAACTCAAGGTCACACAAACAGAAAGTGGCAGCACCAGGATTTGATCTCAGGCAATGTTGCTCTAGGGCCCCTTGTCTTAACCACTCTACTGCCTCCTAAACAAAAAAACATTAATATAAATCTGCTTTATTGCCCTGTAGACAGAAAACATTACAGTGGCTTCAGGAACAATTGGTTTAATCTAAAAAGTTTATTAAAGCCATGCTTTTTGGTAAATGGTGGTTTGTGCTGTAGTCAGACAGAAGAGATTTTTCTGCTGCTTTTGTTTCTCTCTTTGCTCCTTTTATTATTTATACTGCTAAAATAGCTGCCTTACTACCATAATGTGGTTCTGTTTTTCATGGAAAAGCTTGCATTACCACCAAGTTATCCATAACACCACAACTTCTTGGCAGGTTGGTCATTTCTGACACTTGTGTATGTCTCAGAATGTCAGTCCCAAGGCCCCTTGCTGCTCCTGCCTCACATACAACAGCAACAACAGATTTACCTGAGGGTGGGTCTCAGCTCTGCTACTTACCAGCTGTGGAACCTTTTTTCTTTTTTCTTTTTTTAGTTGGAATCTGCTCTGTTTCCCAGACTGAAGTGCAGTGGTACGATCTCGGCTCACTGCAATCTCTGCCTCCTGGGTTCAAGCGATGCTCCTGCCTCAGCCTCCCAAGTAGCTGGGATTACAGGTGCGCACCACCACAGCTGGCTGATTTTTGTATTTTTAGTAGAGATGGGGTTTCACCATGTTGACCAGGCTGGTCTCGAACTCCTGACCTCATGTGATCCACCCACCTTGGCCTCCCAAATTGCTGGGATTACAGGTGTGAGCCACCGCGCCCAGCCCCAGCTGTGGAGACTTGGGCAAATCATTGAAATTGTCTTCACCTCAGTTCTTCATCAGACAAACAAGGACAATAAAATCTTCATGAGAATGTTACTGTGAGGTTCAGAGATGATGTAGGGAAAGTAACTAGCACAGCCTCTGGCATACAGTAGGTGCTGAATTAACAGTAGTTGTTATTATTCTCTTAGCAATTCATACAGGTATTGCTGCACAAGAATGATCAACATAGAGCTGTTCTTAAAGATCTGCCCACTCACTGAGCCTCCTGTTACTGTAGCTTTTTTGTTGTGTTGTTGTTAAAACTGCTTGGATTATAAATCTCACAGATTCTTGTACCCCATTAATCAGTGAAAGGATATAGTGTCTTTGTGGATTTGCATATTATTGCTTTAGATCCCAGTTACTCCAGAGAATTTTCTGCAAGGCAGCTGGTCATTTCACCTTCCTTGGTTAGCCCCACAGCTGTCAAATAGAGAGAACAATGACATCATTGATTTGGGATGTTTCTTGCAAGTAAAGAATAATAAATTAAAATTTTCCTATCACTCTCCTAATGCAAAGTTGTCTATAACTGTGTCTCATAAGTCCTTAATAATTTTTTTTTTTTTTTGAGACAGAGTCTCACTCTGTCACCCAGGCTGGAGTGCAGTGGTGTGATCTGGGCTCACTGCAACCTCCGCCGCCCGGGTTCAAGCGATTCTCCTGCCTCAGCCTCCCTGGTTAGCTGGGATTACAGGCATGTGCCACCACGACCCGGCTAATTTTTGTATTTTTAGTAGAGATGGGGTTTCACCATGTTGGTCAGGCTGGTCTCAAACTCCTGACCTCAGGTGATCCACCTGCCTCTGCCTCCCAAAGTGTTGGGATTACAGGCATGAGCCACCACACCTGGCCAGATCCTTAATACTCTGAACAATTCAGGGCAGATTGTACAAATCCATCTCTGTCAATGAGGAATTATGATTTGGGTTGTTGCAATACCTAAAAGGAAAAAGACAACAAGTTATTGACAGTATGATCGATTTTAAGATTAAGCAGTGTCAAACAAAATAATCTTGCATTTGGAGGAGACTTGAAGATCTCCCCATTTTCCTCCCTTCTTCCACCTCCTCCTACTTGATATTTGGATTCCTTTATAAAGAATGACAAAATGTCATTCAGCCTCTGCTTCACCCCCACCATGCAGCTCATGAAGACAAGACAGCTTGCAATTACCAATCTCTAGTTGGCCAATGCTGTTCATAAATTCAGATTGTTATCTTTTTAAAAGTAAGCATTTCAGTGGCATATTATGCTCTTTAGCCCATTAAATGCACATCGCTATTCTTATTTCATTGAACATCATTAGTTATGAAGGTAAAGCTAGTAAATTAGGGTTGTAGAGACCTGGGGACCTGGGCTGTAGCTGGAGTTGTGTCACTAGTACAGACAAGTCAACCACAGCAAGCTCCAGTTTATTCAATTGTGAAATGCTGGCTCTCCGTCTGACCTGCCCAGCTGCAACCTCCCCGCTCAGCAGACAGGCAGGCCCCAACTTACAAATGGATCTTGTTCCAAAAGACCATGGAAGCTTGTTATTTGGAACTCAGAAACTATTTTCCTGTTGGAACAACATCATAAATGACGGCTGGGATCTCAGTTTTGTCCACAGCAATCTACTTCATTCATAAAGGTAGTTAAATTATGATATCATTCCAAGGGTAAGAGGGATGAAAAAGAATTTCTTTTTCCCTTTCTGGATGCAAGTCAACACTAGACAAAACTTTGAAATATGTGCTGTTTACCTGGGCACCTTCCTACTTCCATTCCTTTTCCTGTCTTCCATCTTCTTAATGTCCTTTAGGGACCCAAAGGCTCCAACCCACACCTGTTTCACTCTACAAAGTTACTAACTTGCTCTCTCCTCTCCATTTCCACCCCACCATTCTACTGCTCTTCCACCCCCATCTTCCATCTATAACCCCGCTGGTCTTCACCCTACCCCCACCTTATCCTCCCATCCAACTTCCACTCCTTCAGTGAAGCTGTCCTCAGCTAGATTAGGAAGAAGGAAATCTGATTTAAATGATCTGTAAATACCTAAGCTTAATAAGAGCTGACACTTACATAGTACTTCCTGTGTGCCTGGCACTATTTTAAGCATGTATCAACTCTCTAGATTCTCAACAACCCTGTGAGAGAGGTGTTATTATCTACATACCACAAATGAGGAAACTGAGGCACAGAGAGGTTAAGTGACTTGCCCAAGGTCATAACGCTATAGTCAGTGGTAGAGGTGGTATTTGAATCCATGCAGTCTGATACTGGAGCCGGTGATCTGATGCTCATTTTAAAGAAGCCTATTTTCTTCTTTAAAATGAAATGCTTAACCCAACTGAGTCTCTACATCTTAAGCAGCATAACAGAGAAGTGAAAAACATTTAAGTAGTGTCAGAGAAGATATTCTGGGACAGGCAGGCACAAGGCCAGAGTGAAAAATGAGAATGTGGCCAGGCGCAGTGGCTCACGCCTGTAATCCTAGCACTTTGGGAGGCCGAGGCGGGCGGATCACGAGGTCAGGAGTTTGAGACCAGCCTGGCCAACATGGTGAAACCCCATCTCTACTAAAAACATAAAATAATTAGCTGGGCATGGTGGCAGGCGCCTGTAATCTCAGCTACTTGGGAGGCTGAGGCAGGAGAATCACTTGAACCTGGGAAGGTGGAGGTTGCAATGAGCTGAGATGGCACCACTGCACTCCAGCCTGGGCAACAAGAGCGAGACTCCGTCTCAGGGGAAAAAAAAAAATGAGAATGCTTTGCAGTGCTCAATTAGGTGATGAAAACGAATAAATGGTGGCTTTACCATTGGTGGTTTAGATTGGATTCTTTCCTCACAGGCACAACCTATAGGAATGTTCTTCCTATTCACAGAAAAAAAGTTATCTCCTATGTTTCTTGATTCTCCCATTCTACCTTTCTCTTCCCAGTTTTGAAATAGATACAAGAAAAGGTTGACATTTCTCATAAGAGACCTATAATACAGGCAGCAGTGTCAGTGCCAATAGTAAATGGAAATCAGACCGGGTGCCTTGGTGTGCTGAGGCTCTCTCTGTGGCAACCAGAGAGCATGTATCCTCTCTAGAGAGACAACAGCTTCTCAGACCCAGGTGTTTTTTGGTAGGCAGGCAAGCAGACAATTTCACTCCAGAGCCTGGGCTCTTAACTGCTGTGTTATCCTGCCTGGGTTCAAGTCACACTCGGACAATGTTTTTAACATACTTCATTGTAAATGTATTGACTTTCACAGTTAATGGTTACATCTGTGAACAAATTAGAAAGATGTCTGTACTTATTACAACTCCTTCAGTTGCAAGTGCCATGAACCAGTTCAAATTATCTGTAAAACACACACGTGTATTGGGATGTAAGGACACAATGTCAGACATGAACTAAATCTAGGGACCCAAGCAATATAATTAAGCCCCCTCTTTCCATCTTTCAGATCTTCTGTTCGTGTGTAGATCTCATCTATTTCTACAGATGAGAAGATAGCACCCCAGAAACACATCCTTCCAGCCCATAAATCTCAAAATGAGGACAGGCTTCCACCCCAACTCCAGTTGAAAAGTACCAGTGGAGGACTTTGACTGGCTCATTTGGGGTTGTGTGTCCACCCCTGAGCCAATCACTTGACCTGAGGAGCCGGATTTCTTTGATTAGCCAGGTCTAGTTTATTTACTTGTCACCATGATGTGGGGAGTAGGTGGCAGAGTACTGTGACTGATAACCCCGCCATGCTCTAATAAAGTTGGAAGGCTTTGGTCAATCAAAACTATAGCTGTCTACTATAATGTTCAATGTTATCTCTAGCTGGAAAATTAGGGAAATTAAAGAGACAAATAATAGCTTACATTGGATAACTCAAAAAGCCAGAACCAGCTTTAGGATAAACACTTTGTGTACTTAGTGTATGACTTACTGGCTATGACAAATGTCTAAATAAAAAGTGAAAAATTCATTCAATCAGAAAGAAGTTTCAAAATATTTATTTTGGTGTCTTACAAAAATATAGGTAATTAGTCGACTGACTCTTTTTTAAAAATCTGGATGTTTTAATACTATATAAACCCAATTTAATGCCATTTAGAATCTAGAACAAGTAACCCTGAATCATAATTACATGATTTAAAAAAATTGGATTTTAATAGGTAATTTATGGTCTTGCCATATCATGTTTCCACTCAACAAGCTAGAGCTAAACCAGAGAACTAATGTAAGATGGAAGGGAGAAACTGCATTGCCATTACATTTCCATAATAGAGTTGAACAAAGAACTAAAATCAAGATATGCTTTATTTAAAAATTTGAAAATCATTGAAGTCTTTGTAAGTCTTTGCTATAATTTCCCACCACATTTAATTGGTATTTTGTGCAATGAAATACAAAAATGTCAAGGGAATTTTCTCTTCAAAGTTAATGCCTTGTCTGTTTCTCTTTCAGCATATTCACTATCAACAGAGTGTGCTAAAATCTCCAAATTCTCGGTTGTGATATGCTATGCAAGAGTAAAATAAACATTTAATTTTATATTGTTAAGTCAGACTTATTTCCCTACTTGTTAACAAAGTAAACTTATTGAAGTTATACCATGAGCCAGGCCTTCATGCTAAGCATTGTACACATATAACTCTTTTAATCCTCACCACAATCTTAAGAGAAAGAAACCATTTTACAGGTGAAGAAACAGGCATTGCTGTAATCCTTAAAACAATCATCTGAGGTAGATAACATTTTAGTCCTCTACACTGATGAGGAAACTAAGGCTCAGAGTGGTTATGAAAATTACCCAAGTTCACAAAGCTAATAAGGGATAAAACTGAGATTTGAACCCAGGCAGTCTGGGTTCAAATTTCAGTTTTGGCCGGGCATGGTGGCTCATGCTTGTAACCCCAGCACTTTGGGAGCCAAGGTGGGTGGATCACTTGAGGTCAGGAATTTGAGACCAGCCTGGCCAACATGGTGAAACCCCATCTCTACTAACAATACAAAAATTAGCTTGGTATGGTGGTGCACTCCTGAAATCCTAGCTACTTGAGAGGCTGAGGCAGAAGAATCACTTGAATCCAGGAGGCAGAGGTTGCAGTGAGCTAAGATTGTGCCACTGCACTCCAGCCTGGGCAACACAGCGAGACTCTGCCTCAGAAAAATAAAATAAAATAATAAAAATAAAAATCTCAGTTTTATCCCTTATTAGCTTGATTTTGTGCTTACACTCTTAATCACTATTGTTTTACTTCTTCCAATTGCTTAATAGTTAGTATATATAATATCAAATATACAACCTATAACTGTTGGTAGTTAATGCTTAACCATAAAACATGTGTTAAACCTTGTTTTAGGATACCCTTGGTCAAATTCTTCTCTATAGATCTGTAGTTACCACAGCACCACTCTTCCCATATTCTCTTTTTGGAAAAAAAAAAGTGGAAATAACTAATAGTAACAATTATTGTTTTCAAGTAAAATACGCCAAGATCTGTGTGTACTTTTCTCAAAAAGACGAATTTCACAATATTGCAATAATACAACATGGAATGCTTACATGTGCCTGTGGAAAAAAAACTCTATGACCCAACTTGTGTCAGTTTCTTGTTTAATATTACAATAAAGAGCAGAGAAGGATCTGCTCATTAGGTCATTTGGACCCACCTCCAAATAGAATTAAGACTGGGACCTCTCCATAACTAATCATTTTTGCACCAAAAAGAAGGTCTCACTCCCTTTCCATTTAAAGCAGCTGTTTGTGGGCAAAAATTCTTGTGTCTTGCATAACTCCCTTTCCAAAAAGTAAATGTGGCACATCCAGGATTGCTTGCATATATAAAAGTGAGGGGTGGTGGAGGGGAGGGCGACAGGGAGAAAAAGTATCACAGGCAGCAGCTAAAATCTTTGCGACTTTGTAGAATTTGTTCAGACTTCTTTTGTGACAAGATTGCAGCC